GGCCTTGTGTCCACACACCCAAGGTTGCACCAGGCCTCCACTGAGCTGGGGGCAGAACCTCCCTCCCGCCAGGCCCTCAGCAGACCCCGCTGCCCCCATGAGGTCAGTGGGAGGGGCTCACAGAGCTGCGTTTGCTACTGTTTCCAGAATGTTCATGTTCTGTCACCTGTCCCTCTCTCCTCTCCCCTCCCTGCCCACTTCCCACCCTGCTCCCAGGCCATAGAGACCCACTTGCTGAATGTCTCTCCCGGGGGGCTGACCTACATCGCTGAATGGCGAGGGGGGATCCTGGACCACAAGATGGGGCACTTGGCCTGTTTCTCCGGGGGCATGATCGCCCTCGGCGCTGACGATGCCAAGGAAGAAAAGAGAGCCCACTACCGAGAGCTGGCAGCCCAGATCACCAAGACCTGCCACGAGTCCTACGCCCGCTCAGGTAACCCTGCAAGGGGAGGGCGCAGAAGGCTGAGGCTGGAGTCCAGAGAGAACTGGAAAGGCCAGCACACAGCAATGAACAGAGGACACGCGTGGTCTTAGGAAGGTCTCAGCTTAAAGGGTGGGTAGTATTTAAAGGTGGGTTGTATCTTCCGTGCACTGAGATTGCACCTTAAATTCAAGGGAAAACAGCCACACGAGAATAAGCAAAGCACTCTGCACGTGCCAGGCCCTCGACACTCCATCACAGAACCTTCCAGCACAGAACCTTCCGGGAGGAAACTGAGGCTCAGAAGTGACCAAGGGCCTTGACCAAGGTCCCATGTGAGGGGCACAGAGCAGAAACCCTCACATCCTGAGGCCTACAGACCCTTGCTTCCGGGCCCCACCCCGAATGTAGCTCTGCTTTCCCTCCTCTGTTCGGGGTGTCTCACCAGCTCCTGGAACTACCCGGTTTATCGCACTCATTGACCCCAGAAAGCTTGCGAGCCCTCCATCACCCACGCCAGCACACGCAATGTGCTCTGCTCATTCGTCCCCTGCGGGAGGCGGAAGTCCCTGGGAGAACTCGGCCACTCCCCATTTTACACGCTGGGAGACTGAGTCCGCCCAGAGTGGGGATGCGGCTTAGCCAGCGTCACTGCCCATGAGCAAGTAGCTCAGCCGGGGCTGGAAGCCGGGTCTTGGATGCTGCCTCTCCAAACAGCATCTTCTGGAAAAAATCAGCAGCCCTCCCCACCACCCATAGCCCCAAGGGGTTATGAGCTCCCCTGAGTTGTGGACTCAGTCTTGAGTTGGGGAAGTGAACTAAAGATTTGCTGCATAAATCATGGCTCAAGGACCACTGTGCCCTCACCCGTTGGGTGGGTGGCCTCTGTGTTCTCATGTTTAAGGGGGATGACGACGCAGGTCTCGGGGTGGGGGTGAGGTCCACAGAAAGCACTTGGCCAGCCGCTGTCTGCCTTTCGGCCAGCAGCAGGGAAGGCCCGTCAGAGCAGGGTTCGCGGGGCGCCCTGAGGCCTGCTGAATGCAAGCCTCCTGGAGCTGTTTGCAGGAAGCCCGTCAGTGATTTGCAGTGTTCCTGAAACGGGTCTTCAATTCCCCTCAAAGCACTCTCTCTGCCAGGGCCATAAACAAACAGGAAATCTCAGGAATAATAAAAAGCCCACTATTTGTCTGGGACAATCAGCCCAGACCATAAAAGACAGTCCGCTTAATGGCCCGCCCTGTCCCGGCCAGGGGTGGGGCTGCCGGCTACAGAGCTCGCTCTGGCCCCACCTGTCAGCGGCTCGGAGGGAGGGTTTTCTGGGGGGAAACAGCTGCACCATTTGAGGAGGGGGTAGCCGATTCCTCTTCTGTGAAGCCCTCCTTGGAAGAATAGTCTGTCCCCCAAAACTCCAGCTCCTGTCTCTCAAGGAAAGGCAACCCAGGGCCTCCCCAGGGCCTAAGCCCTAGTGGGGAACTCAGGGGGTGCATGCCAGGACCAGAGTTGGCCCCTCAACTGACCCAGACAGAACATGGAGGCATTTGAGTGAGGATGGTTTGGGCCTGGAGGGTCAGACCCAGTCCCCTTGGGCAAACTCCTGAGCTTCTCTGCTCCTCAGTCTCCACAGGCATGAGAGAAGGAGAAGAACATCTATCTTAACCCCCCCCAAAAAAATGTATTAAAGATTTCTTTTTAAGATTTATTTATTTATGCTTACAGAACTGGGGTACAGGCCAGAGGTGCAGGGGGTGGTGAGAGGCTTCACCAGAGACAGAGTGGGGAGCAGAACAGGCAGATCGACGAAGTACACTGCTGAGGGAGCAGCGGGCGGGTCAGGAGAGGTCTGCTGTGCCATGTGGGTCACCTCCGGGGCAGGCGGGGATCGAAATAAAACACAAGTGGCTTAAGCTTCTTAGTGCTGTGCTTTAACCCGCTGCGCCACCAGGGAGGGCCCTAAAAACTGTTTTTTAAGGATTGGCGTAATGTATGTAAAGAACCAGCACAGCCCTTGAAGTCCCAGGCGGTGGCTCCCGTCGCGGTGATAGTGGTGCAGCCAGAGACGGGTGAGGACAGTCAGGCCAGTGTCGGCAAGGCCCGCCTGGCAGTCATATCCCCTCAGTCTCCTGCCTGCCCGCTCAGGAGGGCTGGTCCAGGAGGTCCTGAAAGCCCTAAGAAAGACGACCCCCCTCCCCCACCATGGACCTGCCTGTCCCTTCACTAACTCTTTATTCCCCAAAGACATTTAAACCCGAAACCTCTCTCAACGGAGCCCTGGTCAGTGTGTCCTGCAGCGCTGTCTCAAAACACAGGCGGGATCGCCTCCCAAGCTCTGTCCCCCAGACGCTGAACTGCTGGGTGGTTCATTTGGAGCCTCAGCTTGTGAAACTGAAACACACTCAAGGCCTCCAGGGCCTGGCTGTGGGCAGCCTCAGCCAAGAGATAAGCTGTGTCTCTGCCAGCAAAGCATTGCCCGTCCACCCAGGTGATGTATCCGTCACCAGCTACCGGCCGCCGGGGCCGCCGGGGCCTCCGGGCCACTGGGCTCTCCCGTGGGGCGCTGGGCCCTGAGGAGCAGAAGGTGGGTCTCTGACCCCAGCACTGTGGTTGTTCCTTCCCACAGACACCAAACTGGGGCCCGAGGCCTTCTGGTTTAACTCCGGCAGAGAGGCGGTGGCCACGCAGCTGAGCGAGAGCTACTACATCCTGCGGCCCGAGGTGGTGGAGAGTTACATGTACCTGTGGCGGCAGACCCACAACCCCGTGTACCGGGAGTGGGGCTGGGAAGTGGTGATGGTGAGCGCCCCGGGGGGCTGGGAGGGCCAGCTGGGAAACAGGGGCCCCCGAGAACCCTCAGGGCTCAGCGTCCCCTAGCTCAGGCACCCGGAGAAAAGCCAGGCCAGATGGCTGGTGTCCAGGAGGCTCAGGGGGAGGCTGAGTTTGCAGAGCCGAGAGCTCCCGACCGGACAGAACTTGCCCAGGACTGGTGAGGAGGGTCCCGAGCACACGTGGTTCCGGGCCTGGGCCCTGATGGCAGCACAGAGGGCCAAAGAAGGGGTGGCAGGCAGGGGGGGTCCAGGGCACCAGTAGCCACCGCTTTCCGGCCTCAAACCCCAGCTTTTCTCCCAACACAGCCCCGACCCCCCTCGCCCCACGCACCCCAGCCCGCACTGTCTCCAGGCTCTGGCCCTCCAGCCTCCCCTCCGCTAGCTCTCCGCCAGCCGCCTAGGGGACGTGGCCCTCTTTGGGGCTGGTGTCAAAAGCAGGTGTGGGGATTCCAGAAGGTTCCTGGATGGAGAGTGAGTCTACTAACCGCACACCTGTCTAGGGTCCCATGCTCAGTGGGGCTGCTCTCGGGGCTGCTCCGGGTCATTGGCCAGAGTCCCCTACTTCCCTGAAGTCCCTGGTTCTTGACCTTTAACGGTGTTTCGTGCTTCTGGGCCCTGCCCACCTTACCTGAGTAACAGCTGCATTTATATGCAAAAGTCTGACAGCCCCATGACCCACCACCTCTGGCCCAGCGACAGTGTCCGCATGGGGAGTCCCTCGGGTGTGCAGTCCAGTCCCCAGGAACATCGGCAGTGCCCCCCTCCATCCGCCATCCTGGTGAGTCTGTCGGGCCAGTCGGCTCCCGAAAGGCCAAGAGAAGCTCACGCCCAGTGACAGGCCTGTGGGGACTCAGTTCTCAGCACGGGCCTGTGGAGCGTGGGCCTGCGGCCTGGGGCCCCACAGCCTGGCGGCGGAACCCTGAAGCACAATTTGGCCTCCAGCTTCCACTCATTCCTGGGGTCCCAGCTGAGGGGTCGGGGCCTGCCCTTGGGCAGGCAGAGTCTTGGGGCGCCTCCCACCTCCCCACACTGAGGCCGCCTGCCTCTTTTCAGGCCCTGGAGAAATACTGTCGCACGGAAGCCGGTTTCTCTGGGATCCAGGACGTGTACAGCAGTGTCCCCAGCCACGACAACAAGCAGCAGACCTTCTTTCTAGCGGAGACTCTAAAGTGAGCCGGGGCTGGGCGGGGTGCCTTCCGAGGGCACCCCAGCTTGTCGCGGGGGCGGGGCGGTGGGGAGGCGCCCCAGCCCCGGCCACCTGGAGTCGGGTTCTGCCCTCACGAGGGTGCAGGCGGGTGCAGGCGTGGTGTCAGCAGCTTGCAGCGGGGGTAGGCGAGCGGGGGGCCGGAGGGTCTCCACTCAGTGAGGCTGGGCTCCAGCGGAGACCTGCCTCCCCGTCTCCTGGCTGTTTAGTTCTCTGAGTGACGAATCACTGTTGTTAGCAGTAATTAATGATTCGACCCTGCTGCTGACTTGCCCTCTGCAGCTTCGCTGCTGTGGTTTCTTTTAGGGTGGAGTTGGCCACCCCATTTCCTTCCTGTCTCCTAAAGAGACCCCCTGTGCTCTCACCCTTTAGGGTGGAAGGGTGTGTTCCTTTAGTAAAAAACACAAGCACAGTGGGAGTGAGCTCTGGAGCCACCAGTCTGTCCTTTCAGCACCCTCAGGCGGCTCGAGAGTGGCGCCCCCTAGAGGACACGTGCGGAGCAGCGAGAGTCTGCGCTGGCACAGCCCTTAGGTCGCCCTGAGGAAGGGGCCCCTGGGCCACCAGGGTCCCCAGCGCGCTGGCTCCAGGGCCAGGCCAGACGCATGAGTGACGCGGGTGGGGTATGAGGGCTGGAGCCAGGCCGAACCAGGGCTGTGTGGCCGGCACCCAGTGCTCTCGGCACCCACGCCGGCCCCTGCACCCGCAGCTCAGGCCCACCCCAGAGGGCCTGAGGTTCGTTCCGTGGGGCCCCGGCTCCACCGCTGACCGGTGTGTCCTGCTTCCCCTGCCCGGCCACAGGTATCTCTATCTTCTGTTCTCTGAAGATGACGTGCTCTCCCTGGAGGACTGGGTGTTCAACACCGAGGCCCACCCGCTCCCGGTGAACCACACGGACAGCTCCGGCACAGCGGGCGGCCGCCTCTGACCTCCTGCCCGCAGGACGCTGCCTGCCGAGGGCCCGGGACAGGCCTCGGGTGTGGGCGCGCGGGCCCCAGCCAGGCAGCCCGCAGGCAGGAGTGCCCGACACGCAACTTCTTTTCCTCTGTGAGGAGACAGGACTGGAGGCCGGCGATGTCACCCAGGCCCAGACACTCCTTTCTATGGAGAATTTCTATGAAACTCGTTCTCTTGCACCCCGGGCCGACGCCACAGGTTTGCCTACGACCGTGTATTTAGTTCACTTTCTTTCCGATGTTCTTCCCTTGATTTCTTTGGTTTTGCCTGATTTTTGCCTTTTCTCTGCAGTTGTTGTTTATCACAAATTAAGAATATAGTTTTCAAAATCATGTGCTCTCGACAGTGGTGTCCTCCAGATAAACGACACACACACATCCGGACCCCGTTTTCTATCTTTTAAATGCATTTTGCCACCCTTTCCTCCATGTTCGACTCTGTGTCCTTTACCTTATAATTTGAGGAGGGGTTTCCCTTTGATCTATGCTCAAGTGTTAAGATCTAGTGCTATTTTCATTATTGTAATGGAAAAATCTGTAAACTTACAATAAAAGAGTTTATTGAATAAGACACGTGCTTGGACCCACTGCACGTCAGCGATGCCTGGAAAACGGGGGCAACGTGAATGTGACCAGCAGAAAGAATAATCAGCCGCCCGTTGATCCAAGGTAAGACTCTGTAAATGACTCCTGCTTCTTTCCTGTTCCCCCAAGTTGGTCCTAATGTGTTCAGGAAGGGAGAGGCCAGCCTTCTGGTGGTGTTGGATATTTGCCCATGGGAAAGGCTCAGGGAAGGACAGCAACTAGCCTGAGGTCACACAGCCAGTCCCTGCGGGTCGCTCATCCAGCAGATGCCTGGTGAGCCAGACCTCAGACAAGATACCACGGCGTGACCCAGTGAGGGAGCCGGCAGTCAAGCGAGGAGAGACAGACCCGAGAGCGAACGGTCAGGAAAGCAAAGTGACTGCAAGTTGCAGGAAATGCTGCAGGGTTGACTGCAGGGCTGAGGTGCAGATGGCCAGCGCCTGTCTTCAGGGGCCTAAAAGAGCCTCTCTGAGCGGATGACCTTCACGCTGAGGCCCAGAAGATAGGAGCGGTGGGAAGAGGACCCACAAATCCACCCACCCGTGACCCTCACTGCTTCCCAAGAAGGTGGGATACAAAGTCTGGTCTGTAGCGTGAGGAGCCTTTCTGCCCTCACCTTGCCTCACCTCTCCCACCTCCCCTGCAGCTTGTCCACACAGCTGACTACAGGGGGAGCTTTGAGTCACCCCTCTGCTCGGTAGCTCTGCTGGGCTCTGTTAGGAAACCCAAGGCCCCTGGAGTGCTGGTGCCTTGGGAAACGCCCACTGTGGGAACCTGCTGGGTTCCCCACCGCTCTGGGCCGCGTTTCATCTGTGGGGGTGCAGCCTCTACCCACGAGGCTTGCTGGGAGAAGGGGGGTGATGCCGCTGCAGCCCTGGGGCCTTGGGAGGTACTTCTTTCCGGTTCTGGAGAGTCAGAGTTTCCAGCAGCAGCTTCAGCAGAAGCCACAGCCGAAGAGAGCTGGTCCATAGCAGAGGCCCTGGCCTTCGGGGAATACGTCACTGAACCCCGCCAGTCACTTTGCTCCAGATGGGCATTAGAAAGCGCCGCTCCAGTGACCTGCCCTAGAAAGACATCAAGACCTGCAGCGGCTTCACAGCCTGGGGGCTCACCCCGTCTCAGCCTCACCCCAGAAGAACATGCAGCCCCCACTCCAAGGGACCACGTGCAGAGCGAAGGCCAGGATCAAAATCCCAGACGTGTCAGAGGAGACGCGACAGAACTCAGAGGCTCCTCAGGTGCTGAAGAAATAAATATCACCAGGGAACCCCCACTGCCCAGTGAGGGGAGTGAGAGACGTTCAGTCCCACCTGGCCCCACGTCGTGGGCAGGAACCTGGGCCAGGCAACCAAATCCTCTGCTCAAAAGCGGCCAGAAGTAGGGCTTAGGCCGCACCAGCGGTCCCTCCAGGAACAAGGACCAAAGCCAAAGTTCCAAATAGCAGAGACTGAACCCTAAGGGAACCCCCTGATGGTTCAGGGCATTCTCTGTTGTGGTTATGGGGTTACAGGGCAGGGAGAGGGGCATCCCTGAACCCCAAAACCTGCCTGCTCTGAATAGGTTCTGCCATCCGCCACATCAAGACAAAACATAGAAGACCCTTAGTGGAAAGGAACTTTAATATAATGAGTGTGCCATACAGACAAGACAAAGAATATAGTCTCTGAATCAAACGCCCAAAGTGACCCATCCCCACATGGGTAAAAGTCAACCCCAAAAGGGACTGGCCCAAAGCAAGGCCTGAAATCCCGCCACAATTCTAAAGCACCTTCAGGCCTGGACCCATAGAAAAGGGTCAGAAATGGCTAGACAAGTGTGGGAGGAAAAGAGCAAAGTCAAAATCAAGATGAACGCTGCCATGGTGAACCTCCCCACAGGTCTCTCACCCACATCCGTCTCACCCAGCCCAGGGCCAAGAAACAAGACAAAGCTTCTTCACATGTCTCTCTGCTCCGTGGCTCCTGGCTCCCCATCCTGCTTCCATCCTCTTCCATCTCCTCTCCAGATTCTTCTCTGCTCAGCTCCACCCTACTTTGGGTGAGGCGGGGAACCTGGAACCTCCCCTTTTCCTGGGGACCCCCCTTTTACAGTTATAAAACAAAGAGCAAAACAGCTTACATTTGTGTTTAATGGTACCATCCCTCTCTATCCCGTGTTTCTTTTTTTCTTCTCCTTAAAAAGGAAAGATACATTCCTTAACCTGTTGGAGACGTGAAAACATTTCTTAAAACTCAAAACAGAAAAAGTCATTATACAAACATTCTAGAAAGGTCAGAAAATAAAGATAAGCAGAAAGAGAAAGAACTCACCTCTGGAATGACAACTGTTACATTTTCTTCTAGATCTTTTTCTGTGAATATACAGAGTATATTTCGCATATATGGCATCGTACTGTGTTTGCTGCTTTATTATTTGTTATTTATTAAAATGCAATTGTACGTGGCTCTGCACTGCAAACGCTCCACACAGCACACCTGGACTTCGCTCATCACTGTTCCTGGCTGCGTAATAACCCACCATGCCTGGGATCCTGCTTTTTGGACTGACAGTTCTATTGCTGCGGATTTAGGTTTGAGTAACAGGAGCCAACTCTTCCAACTTAAGCAAAGGAGAAACTGTATTGAAATGCTGGGGGTGGCTGAGGAAACCTCAGACCTTGAGATCTACAGAGAGGACTTGGCCCTGGATGCAGACCGCCAGGATAGAGAGGGGTGGGAGTCTCCCCAGGTACTACCCTCAGAATGGCTGAATCTAGATGTTTCCAGGTCCTAACTGTTTCCTTTCAAGAAACTGAGTTTCCGATTGGCCCCAGCCAGGTACCAATGTCTGACAGTCCCATCAAGACTCATGCAACAGGGCCCCAACTGCAGAAAAATAAGAGGTTTGCCATCAAAATAACGGACCTACCAGCTTGCCAGGCCAGAAACAGCAGGACTGTTCACAGGTGGTTTTCCTCAGCATTGTAAGGAAATGATGACAACACACGTCACTATTCTCCTTCCCCTTTGTCCAGCGGCTGGAAGCCGCTCCATCTCACAGCCGTGTGGCAGTCCCAAGGGGCCGCCAGGCCCCAGCTCCACCCACACCACCACCACCCCTGTGCGCACCCCACCCTCCACCATGTTGTCCTGTTATCCCTGGGAACAGGTTGCTGAGTGTTTTAAAACTCCACCCTCCGAGAAGCCCACTGCTGGTGGAGAAATACCATGCATTTGCCAACTTAACTCTATTCCAGGGATAAAAATGAGACCCAAGGTAGGCTGCTGAAGAGAGGAATTAAGGGGTGAGTCATCCTCACTGCAGAAGCTGCGAATCTAAGTTCTGATGTCGGGCCCTGAGCGGGCCCATCCTCCCCAGCCAGGTCGCAGGGGGCCAGTGTCCTCTTTAGCATCGCCCTGGTAAGGACAGGACCTTCCTCTGCATCTATTTTCTTCCCAGGGGGGTTGATGCTGGTTGCTCCCTAGAAAGCTGCATCAAGACTCCAGGACCGAGCCCCCTCCCACCAGAGTGGCGCCATCCTCACCCAGATCCCTCCCTCATCGTGACTTCTGTGCTGGCTTTGTGCCCTGCATGGTATGCTGGGCAGTTTGCAAAGTTCACCCAAAAAAGGCACCAAAAAGGAAACAAAAGTTGAAAATCTGTTTTAAAGCCAGCATTCCAAGGTCCAGCTTGCGCCTCAGCTCGCGCCCTGGGCTTGGAGTCATAGTTGAAATCACACAGGTACAGGACCGGTATCTGTCGTCTCGATGCTCATTGATCCTGTGGCCCAGGAACGCTCAGCCTCTGTGACTAGTCCTTAATCACTCCCTGAGGCGGGGTGGAGGGGAGGTGGCCTTTGGCTAGTGCAGCTTCAAAGTCTGGCCTGGCCCCCCGCGATTCTGCATTTCTGAGGCGCTCCCGAGGGCGCTGAGGCTGCCAGTCCCCAGACTACACTTGGGCCTTTTTTTAAGATTTATTTACTTGTGCACACAGAGCTGGGGTACAGGCCAGAGGTGCAGGGGCCATGAGGATTCACCAGAGACAGAGTGGGGAGTGGAACAGGCAGATGGACAAAGTACACCGTGAGGGGAGCAGCGGGCGGGACAGGAGAGGTCTGCCGCGCCCACAGCCCGCTCCAGGGCCGGGGATCATGCTGAAGCGGACGCGGCCAGCTTCATAGTGCTGCGCTTTAACCCGTTGTGCCGCCAGGGAGGGCCTCAAGGCTTCTGATGATGGGCCCCGCTTTGCTTTCCGCCCTTTCTTGACAGCCCAAGCACTGCTGCTTTCCAGAAGAGAGCAGGGAGTCTCTGGCGTTGGGGGCGGCGGTGGGGGCCCCTCTGTAGTCAACTGGGCCGCGGAGGGACTAACCTGCCACCTGACTCCGGGGCCTCCCTGCTCCTGGACAGGCAGGCTCACCCAGACTTCAAACAATGCATCCAGCAGAACTCCCGCAGCCACGAAGTGTCCTCTTCGTGTGGTGGGGGACCTGGCACTTCAGATATGGCAACCGCTGCTGAGCACCTAAATTTTTCATTTTGTTTCGCTGTGATTAAATTTACATGAATCGCGTGGGCTCCTGGCCGCGGTTGGGACAGGGCAGCCAAGAACTGTGCAAAGCCCGCCCCTGTTCACCCCACCTCCGTTGGAGCCCCCCACCACCTGCCAAAAATAATCTTAGTACAACATATTGTTTGGGGACTTGAAAGTCCCCTGGAATATATGTGTTTATTTTTATATTCATTCTGGCCACTGATTTCTGCAAAATCCTCCGGTTTTTACTTGGGTTGGTGTGGTTTATCCTCCTTATTATCTGCAGGTGGGATCCGGTCAGATTGAAGACGGGCAAGGCAGGGCGGCAGGACGGGCTAGGCCAAGTGACCACGGACGGAAACCGACAGACCCAGCCCCCTCCAGGCTGTGGCCCTGGGTAAGCCCCACAACCTCTCCCAGCCTCTGCTTCCGCATGGGTGAAACAGGTTTGCAGGGTGAACGGAGCTCCCCAGCGGAGAAGCTCCCCACGTCTAGTGGTGATTGTTATTGCTATTATGTGATTGCTCTCTGTAAACTATAAAAACTTGTGAAATGTGAGGCAAAATACTGCTGTCAGAAATTCTTCTATTTAAACAAAACGCCCTGAAACTTGGAGGAAACTGCATCAACCAGGCCCAGGAGACAGACCAAACTCTGAAAGCAATAAATCTGAGCACTTTCTGCCTTCGCATTGAGCAAGTGTTTTGCCGTTAGCCCTGAGTCTACAGGAATTGGGAAATTAGGATGAAGATGTGCTGGGGGCGCCCAGGGCCGCCCGCTTGTGGGGTGCTCAGGGAGGGTGGAGGGCCCAGAGAAGGCGCTGGCGACCTGCCCAGGCACCTGGCCGAGGGGCATCCTGACTCCATGTGCTCTAGGCCAATTCATCTTCCCCTCCGTCAGGCCTGCGTGGGGCTCCCCTGGGGCTTCCGCAGAGGCAAAGCAGATGGAGATTCTGAAGGAGGAAACAGGCCCAGAGAGGCTTCCTCAGGTCAGGCAGCTGTTCCTGGTCTCTGGGCAGCCTCTTCAGAGGCCCACTGGGCTCCCTGCCGTTCCCCACACCCTTCACCCCCCATCCTCACCAGACTCCAGTTCTGCTCCTGACACTTTGGGTTTTAACCTGTTGTTCAAGTTATAAATAACAGCCCTTCACTTTCAAAGTGCCCCAATTTGGACAACAAATTATATGTCACCCTCCCCCCTTCACTGTTGCCTAAGTGACAGCTGGCATGCTTCTCCAGAAGCTTTCAGTGCTCTGGCAATATTAAAACCCAACCTGCAAACTTATGCTAATGTCACAAGTTCTTTCCTTCAGAAGCCGAGACGGAGCTCACCGTGTTCTCATAGACCTTCCTGCCTTTGCCGGCCTGCGCTCTGTCTGTGCTGCATCCGCAGGGCGCGCTCCTCAAGGCAGCCCTCAGCACACCTCCTCCAGGAAGTCTTCCCTGGCCTCTTCCTGCCATTCCTCGGCACTGGGCTCCCGCCCTGCTTGGGGCAGACCAGCTTTGCATGAGCCTCTCCCTGCTGGATTGAGGTCTCCGCGCACGGGGACTGGTCTTCACCTTTGTGTCCCTAACCTGTAGCAATAAATGTGTGTCCTGGAAGCTCAGGGATTGATCACCCACCGGCCTCCTGAAGATTCCAGTGACTGAGGAGGGACACAAGGAACTAGATGGGGGAAAAGATGATCAGTTTTATTTCAGGGTCTCGGGGACCACCCTGGTCTCCGGGCCCAGAACAGGAGTGTCCCCTTCCGGCTGTTGTTGCTCTCCTCTGCATTTCTCCATCCAGCAAGTTGCTGTGGCTCTATCAGGGGACTCATCCCTGCTGCCCTGGCTGCTATTCCGGGTCCTCTGGGCTGTGTGATGTGACAAGTAGCCATTAACCATCACTCAGTCAGGCAAACCACAAGGTGCTAAAATCTCAACTGTCAACAAGACAGACAAGGTTTCTGCCCGCCCTGGGGCTTCAGGCTGGCAGGTGGGAGGCAAGGACAGATAGCATCCCAGGAGATGAGGAGGAGGCCGGTGCTGGGTGGTGCTCGAGGGCGCAGATGAGGGAGCAGGGAGCGCAGCCTGCACCTGGAGAAGATGCTGAGACAGGGCCCAGGGCCGGCCCCTGGGGTGCCACGTATGCCAGTCCGTGGTGGGCAGAGGGAACAGAGGGCTCAGAGGTAGGAAAGCAGGGGGCATCTGGGGAACAGGGAGGCGTATGTGAGCAGGAGGGCCACCCCTCTGCCCCCCCACACACACACACCGCACTCCACATGCTCAGCCTCCTGCCAAAGACACAGGCACAGGGAGACCCCTGTGGGCCAGAGGAAGCCAGACAGACTGGGTTCCATCCGGCAGGGCCTCAGGGGCCAGACAGCTCCATTTTAATCTGGGAGCTGCAGGAAGCTGGGAGGCAAGAGCCGGACACAAGATGGCCTATTTGACATATTTTTGTTTCCTCTGACTTGTGAGTGGAGAGGCCTAGGAATTCTCTTTCCTCTCACATCCATCTCACTGGAAAACTCGGGTCACTGAGCAGAAGCTTGTGCCCTGGGGCCCCCAGATGCAGAGAGAGAACCAAGTGCCCTCCGCCTGTGTTCCTGGGGTACGGGGACCCCTGGCTTTTACCAGAGCTTTGGGGGGCTGGAGACTCCTAAGGTAGCAGATCTTGGCCTTTGGCCCCGCAGCTTCCGCTCCCCGTACTCTATCAGGCTGATTCAGCTGCAGCTTTAAAATGTTGAAGCTGCTTTCTAAGGTGGCCGTCTCCCCCCAGCCACAGCTGAGCGGGGTGCCCAGGGCCTTCTCCCCTACTTTTGGAAGCGTCTGGTTTGGGGGCAGATTTGAAGTCAGTGAATTCTGGGTCTCCAACATAGTTTTCTGTCCCCTCCCAACCAGCAACAGCCATCCATGGGGTATCCTGCTCCGGGCCTGGAGCCCCCTACCCCCACCCAGACTGCACCCCACTTTTGCTGTCATCCTTCCACCAGGTCCTATAGTGTCTCTACGGCAGCGAGTGGGGAGTCCAGAACAGAATGGGAATTGCCCCCTTATAATGAGCTTTAAAGCTGCAGGCTTAGGCTGCAGGTACCACTGCAGGCCATGTGGGCATCCCTACAACCTGGTGCCTACCGACTATTGCGGGTCCCGGGAACATAGTGGTAAAGACAAGGGGCTTCCCCTGTGGGAGTTAAACATTCGAGTAGGAGGACAAGAGGTGATAAACACCCAGAGAAGATAGTTTTGGATAATGATGAGCATGAAGGGTTAAGACAAGGTACCTTCCCCACTCTGGGGTCCCCACTGCCATTTCACTGTGACCCCGACACTGTCCCTGTTCAAACTCACCTGCTTGCCGGGGGGTGGGGTGGCGGGGGGGGCCTGAAGCCTGCCACCCACTGTGGCTGTAAAGTTCCCCCAGGGCTGCCAGGGACCCTGCTCTTTCTCCCTACCTCCTGCTCGGAAACCAGTGAGTCCTGCTCCAGCCCAGTGATTCTCAACCTGACCACATGGGGGCCACTGAGGGGCTGCCCCAGACCAATGGGGTGGGGCGGGAGGGGGGGGTCTGCTCTGAGACCCGGTGATGGGTGGCAGCGACCTGGATAAGCCGGCCTCAGAGAATAAAGCTGTCCTTCTGGGCAGAATCCCAAGGCCCTTTCCTGACCCCAGGAAACAAATTTCTCTCTCTGCTGGACAGCGTGAGAGCCTAGCCAACTGGCTGTCACAGCCCCCAGAATCAATCTATTTTCTGGCTAATCACAGCCAGCCCATGCCCATAAATCCGGCCAAAGTCACATCTGTGGCCACGTCTCCGCCTGGTCACGCAGGCCAAAGCTGCTCCTCCCTCGTCCGTCCCTCGAAGCCTGCAGCTTTAAAGGTCATTATAAGGGGGCAATTCCCATTCTGTTCTGGACTCCCCACTCGCTGCTCCCTGACACCCAAGCACAGCCCTGGACAGGCAGGTGCGGGGTGGGGGGAGCCCAGCCTGGGCTTCTCCAGCGTCTCAGAAATGGCACCTCCCTCTCCCCAGCTCAGGCCCGGCTCAGGGTCCCCCTCACCCACCCCGGCCATCGGCCATCGCTCCAGCTCTGGCTCCACAAAGTTCCTGCACTTCCAGTCTCCCTCCAGCCCACCTGGGGGCAGGGGTGGGGGGTTGGGGGGATAGACAGAATCCGCTTCCAGTCTCCCTCCAGCAACTCCTGCTCCCTGCAGTCGATTTGCTACCCCCCAAAATCAGAAAAGCCTAAACATTTTATTTAAGCTTTATTGGGATATAAAGCTTATATAAATGTCTTTTGTTTACCTTTTTTTTAAATTTATATGTTTATGAAGTTTATTCATGCTGTGCAGTACTTTACCCCTCTTTATGCTGAATAATATCCATTGTATGGATACGCCACATTTCTTTATTCCTTCATCAATGGGAATTGAGTTTCTACTTTTTGGCTATAAAAAGAGTCCTTTTTTTTTTAAGATTTATTTATGCACACAGAACTGGGGTGCAGGCCAGAGGTGCAGGGGCAGTGAGAGGCTTCACCAGAGACAGTGGGGAGCAGAACAGGCAGATCGACGAAGTACACTGCTGAGGGGAGCAGAGGGCGGGTCAGGAGAGGTCTGCTGCGCCTTGTGGGTCACCTCCGTGGCGGGGATGGAACTCTGGAATTCACGCTGCAGTAGTGGCCTTAGCTTCTTAGTGCTGTGCTTTAATCTCTGCGCCACCAGGAGGGCCCTAAAGAGAGTCCTTTCACGAGCCCTGATGCCTGGCCCAACCTGGGCCAGCCTTTGCTGCTGTTACTCCCCCTCAGCTCGCTCTGCCTTCTTTGTGTTTCTTGAGCACACCAAGCTGGTGTCTACCTCAGGGCCTTGGCACTTCCCCTTCTTCCCCAGTCCCTTCCCTCCACTCTGCAGGTATCTATCTGGCTTTGCCTCTGCCTGGGCTTGCTGTGTGTTACCTCAGAGTGGGGGCTGCCTGCCACCTTGCCTGGTCGCTCGTATGACCTTGTCTTAACCCTTCATGCTCATCATTATCCAAAATTATCTTCTCTGGGTGTTTATCACCTCTTGTCCTCCTTCTTGAATGTTCCCACAGGGGAAGCCCCTTGTCTTTACCACTGTGTTCCCGGGGCCCGCAATAGTCGGTAGGCACCAGGTTGTAGGGATGCCCACATGCCCTGCAGTGGTACCTGCAGCCTCAGTTTACCCCAGTAACACTATGTCCCAAACATCACCCCTATTAGTGGCTGCAAAGATGTCAGGGGTTGGGTTGGAGGTTGTCACCCCCCACCCCCACCACCCCCACCCCCCGCCGCCTCTCCGCACAGCCAATGGCTTGCAGCCCCCGAGGTTATTATCCCTGTAGAGCTGGAGTTTTAAAAGCCTTAATTTGATCTTACTGACCCAGGAGAGCAGAGGCCTTTCCCTGGAGAGTTCACCCGGCAATCAAAGCCGGGGTGAGGTGACCCTGGAGAAGAGAGGAAGGGGGGGACCTCTGACGTGGCAGCAAGGCCAGGTCTTCCTTCCCCTTCTGGAAGGAGGCCAGAGACCTGGGGTGCTTGCTGGCTGTGCAGGGAGGTAAGAGTGCACCCCCAGCAGAGAAGGGGCAGCAGGAAGGGAGGGGCCCTTCCTGTGGGAAGCGCACCTCATGACCAAGAGTCCCCATCTTCTGATGACTCTGTTTACAGGATGATGCCCCAGTTTCCCGCAAGCTGGTCAGAGACCCTCCTGCCCCTACCTCCCCCACCCCCTCAGACTGCTCACCCGTTGGCCCTTGTCCTCACAGCACTGAGGCTTGGGTCTCCGTGCCTCTGCTGTTCCCGCCCCTGACGGTGACCTCCTGAGTTCAGGCCAGGCTGGACTTCCCTCTGTGAAGCCTGACCTGGGACGGTCCAGCCCTCTCTCAGTGTGCTTCCTCCAGGGTGGGGTGGGGGTGGGGGCGGGGGTCAGAGCATCCTTTGTCTAAAAGGGGTTTTCTTTTCTAATGGACCCCTGCCCCATGGGCTCCCCCAGTGCCCTCTGGGCCTTTGAGGAACCCGCCCCAGCCAACGCCCCTGCAGTCAGGCTCTCCAGCCCCTGGCCACAGAGACCAGTGGAGGGTCTGTGTCTTTAACAAAAACAATTGTAATAATAAAAATAACCTGGCAAAGGAAAGCTCCCACATTCAGATCAAGGAGCCTCAGCTCATCCGTCTTCCCCGTAACCTGCTTTGTGCTCTGTCAGTTTTGCCTCCTGATAAAAGGGAATTTGGTTTTCTAAGAACATCTGCCATAGGCAGGGTGTCCCCAAACATTAGCAGTAACGAGCTGGAAGCAGCACAGTGGCGCCAACACCAGACGCCAGGTCCTTGCTGGGTGGCCCTGAGGAGGGGCCGGAGGGCTGGCCAGGGGCTGGCACAGGGCCCACAACTGCTGGGCATCCTTCACCCAGCAGACACTGTAAAGTGCCCTCCATGCGCCATGGCCGGTGGGCACGGGGAGACACTGCCCACGGAGCATTGTCGTGGCAAATGGCCACGGAAGGACAGAAGGGGTTCAGAGGCCAACCCCAGCACCAGCCTGGACAGGGGGCAGGGGGCAGGGGGTCTCCTGGGAGGCAGCAAGCCATCAGATTTGGATTCACAGTGATGCTGCCAGAGCTCAGTCTCCTTCACTTACACTTACCAACGCCAAACCCAGCAGGTCGTGGGTGCTCCGTCGAGTCCTCCGACATGCCCGACCAAGGGCACACAGGCCCCAGCCTGGTGGTGCCCTCCAGGCACTGCTGCCCCGCGGCTTATGGAGGTTCTTCCAGCAGCGGCTCCCCTCTCCTGGGAAAGTGCCCACAGAGCACCCAGGGATCCTGGGCTTTGGTGAAAAGGGGGCATCGCGGAGCCCAGGCCCTGGGCACCTGGCGGACAGGAAAGTCCCTCCTGCTTCTAGCCCCAAAGTCCACCTCCAAGCATGCCAAGTCTGGTTCTCCAGAAAAACCCAGCTTCCCCACCACCACATCCCCCTCACCACCACCACCACCACCCCCGCCCCCCCCAGGCCTCTGACTCCTTGGAGGTGAGGTCGTCTATTCTAGGCAGGGCATCAGGTGTGACCTTGCACAGGTAGATGAAGACCAGGATGAATCTTCCAGCTGGACCAGGAGCAAATAGGGGTTGGACTTTGTGTTTCTTCTAGAATGCTGAGGGAGTATTAGAAAGCAGGCGGCAAAGGGTGGGGCGCCCCCCTTTGGCCTCCTTCACATCTGCCAGGAGATGTAGACACCAGACCCGGTGGCCCGCGACATCCCCCAGCCCCACCCCGGCAGAGTTTCCCGGTGCTCGCCTCCTCCCAGCCCTGAGTCCCGGCCACGTCCTTCTCGGGGTCCCCAGCCGCAAGGGTTCCCTAGTTCTCCAGGAAAGAGGGGA